TTTTGGTTTTTTTTAATGCAAATTCTTCCGAAAAAAGAATGACGGAGTGCCCGAAAAAATCAGTATGCCTTCCAAGGCAGTTTTTTGAAAAAAAAAAAACATTTTCTGAAATTCTCACTTGCGTTTTCCACTAGCACACTTGCGATCCCCACCAGAAGAGGTATCTTCCTTCCATAGCAGTCGCTGTAGCCACCTAAGTAAACAGAAGAGCGTTCAAGTGTTTACATCATAGATTTCGGACTTAGCGTCCTATGTGAAGTGATTGCACATACGAAGCCATAAGCGGAATTGCTCTATGTATTCAAGAGTGTATTTGGCTAGCCTACCGTAAAATATGACCAGGAAGTAGGGTTTCCCCAACTGATCGATAATTTCTCACCATACATTATTCCAACGATACAAGCTATAGGAAGATTGACGTATGAATAATTATTATCCCATATAACCATCTTCTTATTGTAAAATTTCTTCAAGTCCTTGTCGGATAGCCCCGGAGGAGCGGGATATTCTCTCATCATTTTATGTTCTGCCATTTGTGGTGCCACGATCGACCTGAACTGTAACAAAATAAGGTAATGAAAAAAATCTCAGCAAAAAATGACAGTAGTTCTACAGTGGAAAGTCAGCCAATGGACATTACAACGTTGTATAAAAGACGATTCAGAGAAAAACACTACCTTGCTGCATTGCAGGCGGACAGGATTAACATCAATGGCTCAACGCTGATTTCAAGTGATTTCACCCATGACCAAAATTTCTTGGCGTGCGCAGACATAAATTAACTGTAAAGAAATTTTACCCTGAAATAAGCCACAGCAACATAGTTGAGGTAAAGACGAGTCTAAAACGAGTCTAACGATCTCAAGCATTACTGTAGCGACGGGCAGATCAAAAAAAAAAACAATGAGTAGCCACGTTGATATGTATAAACCCTACTAATTACAATTTCTTTTGAATCGAAATTTTTGTCAGAAGTTCGAAAAGTAATACACTAGGATTGACTGTAGTCAGGGCCAGGGTCAACCGTTACGTTGGACCCGACATTGGACCGACCCCGTGACGCTCTCGGTTTTTTTGGTTTTTTTAATGCAAATTCTTCCGAAAAAAGAATGACGGAGTGCCCGAAAAAATCAGTATGCCTTCCAAGGCAGTTTTTTGAAAAAAAAAACATTTTCTGAAATTCTCACTTGCGTTTTCCACTAGCACACTTGCGATCCCCACCAGAAGAGGTATCTTCCTTCCATAGCAGTCGCTGTAGCCACCTAAGTAAACAGAAGAGCGTTCAAGTGTTTACATCATAGATTTCGGACTTAGCGTCCTATGTGAAGTGATTGCACATACGAAGCCATAAGCGGAATTGCTCTATGTATTCAAAGTGTATTTGGCTAGCCTACCGTAAAATATGACCAGGAAGTAGGGTTTCCCCAACTGATCGATAATTTCTCACCATACATTATTCCAACGATACAAGCTATAGGAAGATTGACGTATGAATAATTATTATCCCATATAACCATCTTCTTATTGTAAAATTTCTTCAAGTCCTTGTCGGATAGCCCCGGAGGAGCGGGATATTCTCTCATCATTTTATGTTCTGCCATTTGCGGTGCCACGATCGACCTGAACTGTAACAAAATAAGGTAATGAAAAAAATCTCAGCAAAAAATGACAGTAGTTCTACAGTGGAAAGTCAGCCAATGGACATTACAACGTTGTATAAAAGACGATTCAGAGAAAAACACTACCTTGCTGCATTGCAGGCGGACAGGATTAACATCAATGGCTCAACGCTGATTTCAAGTGATTTCACCCATGACCAAAATTTCTTGGCGTGCGCAGACATAAATTAACTGTAAAGAAATTTTACCCTGAAATAAGCCACAGCAACATAGTTGAGGTAAAGACGAGTCTAAAACGAGTCTAACGATCTCAAGCATTACTGTAGCGACGGGCAGATCAAAAAAAAACAATGAGTAGCCACGTTGATATGTATAAACCCTACTAATTACAATTTCTTTTGAATCGAAATTTTTGTCAGAAGTTCGAAAAGTAATACACTAGGATTGACTGTAGTCAGGGCCAGGGTCAACCGTTACGTTGGACCGACATTGGACCGACGTTGGACCGACGTTGACCGCTCTCCGCGCCGGCATTCGCACTCGCCTTGCGCGAGCCGTCTGTGTCTCCGTGCGTACGTTCACTCTCGGCATTACTCTCACACGCTAGAGAGCCATGCGTTGGACTTTGTCCAACGAGACGGTTGACCCTGTCCAGGGGCGCTTCTTATCATTGGGGCGGGAGGGGAGGGGAACATTCACGTAACCATGTAAGTATCGGGATGTTAAGGAGTTGAGGATTGTGAGGGAATGTGAGCAATTTGAGTTCTCCCTGCACTCCTCTGCTAGGCTTGATTCTAGAGTCATGTACCATCGACCCTGTTTTGGACGTACCCGCCTCCCCTCCCAAGCCATGAGCCCCGTGTTCTGTACCAGGGTACTACCAATGGCGACTGGTAGCTGGAGCAGGTTCTCAGCGTAAGAGAATTGAGGGTGAAAAATGAGTTCACAGCGAAAATCTTTCAGAGAGACATTACATTGACAGTTATATCTTGAGCCTCATAAGGAAGACATCTTACTTTTGAAAAATTCCTGTAGAATCTTTGTCACCGGTTTCATTGAGTTCTATAGCGGCAACAAGGTATCATGTAGAAGGCATTTGCTCCGAAGTCACAAGTATCATTTTGATATTTACTATGAAATTGATGCGACTCACTTCTCTTAGTTGGTTAGTTGGTGCCAGATCTGTCATTACCAATTACCCTTTACATTCAAACCTCCCATCATCCCTCAATGGCCAAAGTTTAAAAATTTTCAATGAAAAAGTTGGAAAATATCTTTGAAACGTCGGAACACGAACTGATTCAGGATACGAAAATTTTATACAGGACGTTCAACAACAATGTAGCTCTAGAAGACACTATGAGAATTTAGAGGGAAGTGTTCTAAAAAAAAGGTCATCAAACGTATACAGACCGGCTATTCCAGCGTTACCAAGATCTCGAATTCGAACAACAGCAATTTTCGGTTGATCGAATTCAAAACAAGAGGCGAAACCGGTATTACGAAACAGAACCTCCATGCATAATTGGGCTGGAATCGAGTTGTAGGCAGAGTCAACCCTGCGTTGCGCAGTTCGCAACGGCACGTTGAGAGATCCTCAACGCACGCTGTATGGGCGGAGACGCAGACGGCTCGAGCATGCGAGTGTGAATGTTCGCGCGAGAGAACGTGTCTAATCGGGCGAAACTGCGCAACGTGGCCGTTGAGAACTGCGCAACGCAGGGTTGACTCTGCTGATAGGCAGGCTACCTACATTGTTGATTAAACTGAAAAGGATAAAGCGCGTACGTACTCTCAATCCTTTTCTGGCATGCGCCACAAATTCGACTCTCATTCGAGGTGCAGTGTCACATTTGAAAGCATACTATGTATACCCTCAGCTTAGGACAACTAGCAACGTGTCGGGTGCAGACCAAACACCACAACTGACGACGGCCTCCAAATAAATCTGGTTAGAAGTTGGTTCATAGTGATAGCTGATTTCTGGTAAATGATAGTTGTAATTAGTGACAATCGATAGAATACAACTGCAACAGGCTAATCATTTCATTGGCAGAAAACATTAACATTTTGTGGAGGCCGTCGTCACTTGTGGTGTATGGTCTGCACTCGACACCACGAACACGTTCCTACTTCACCCTAAATACGCCATATTCGACTCTCGATGAACCTCGGCATATTAGCGGTTGAATGGTATTGTTTTGTTGAACTGAGGTTGAAGGTTGATGCTGACATTTTACTGGCTAGCGCTTAGGCGAGTTTGCCTTCTTCGGAGCCTAAAAGGATGGTAGTCGAATTCATGAGTATCCGACAAAGAATCCCCACACACCTACTAAATCTAGTGAAGATTTTTGGTCAGATGCTCATAAATTCGACTTCAATCCTTTTGGGCATCGAAGAAGACGAACTCGCCGAAACGTTAGCCAATAAACTGTTAGTACCAACCTAGTGAGCAGCTCAACAAAGCTAACATTCACTCTAAATACTTATTAGGCGTGGGCACACAAAAATCGTAATCAACAAAAATAAATCGTCAACATTTTTATAGTGCCCGCAGTCTAAAAAAGTATCACAATGCCTGTTCCGATCAATACGTGGTTGAATGAAATACTGCTATCAAATTGTTGAAATTTTGGGAAAAAATCCGATTCAAAGGTTGTGAAAAAACTCCTTGACAATTCAATGATTTGGAAGTCGGGCATTTGCTGTTGCAATCTTCAAAAAACTAGAAGTGATCACTCTCGATAACCGTTGACAACGCGCTGCGGGTAAGACTTTGTACAAGCAAAATTGCTGAGCTCAAACAGGGAAATCATGCGGAACGCAAGGATCAGTGCCTCGTGCTTGGCTGCATTTTATCGAAACGTCCGCAAATGATCAATATTCAGACAATTCGTGGAAGATTTACATAGGTAACAATATGCGCTGATGGTATACAGCCCACCAGAAGGTTCCAGTCGTCAATGTCATCTCAGTTTTGTCCCAAGTGGACGAACTCATTTCAAACAAAAGTGGCTGCTTAGTCTTACCATTACCAAGGGTGATGAGCAAAAAGGGTCAACGTTCCAGGTATCAGAGCGCTTCTTATCATCGTGGGACGGGGTGGGGTAACATCCAGTAAGCATGTAAAGTTACTCGGACTAACGTTCTTAGGGGTATACGAGATTGTGAGGGAATGTGAGCAATTTGAGTTCTCCCTGCACTCCTCTGCTAGGCTTGATTCTAGAGTCATGTACCATCGACCCTGTTTTGGACGTACCCGCCTCCCCTCCCAAGCCATGAGCCAGGGTAGCCTGACCAATGCTGGACAGGTTCTCAGCGTACAGAAATCTGAGGGTGCAAAAAATCGAGTTCACTCGCGCAAATCTTTCAAGAGACCATTTACATTGACAGGGTAATAGACTCTTGACAGCCTCATACGGAAACATGTTACTTTTTTGAAAGTTCGCCTGTAGAATTCTTTGTCTCCGCGGGTCCACTCGAGTTTTTAGGCCATGCAAAAGTATCATGTAGAAGGCATCTGCCCGAAGGATAATGCTCACAACAAATATCATTTTGATATTTACTATGAAATTGATGCGACTCACTTCTCTTAGTTGGTTAGTTGGTGCCAGATCTGTCATTACCAATTACCCTTTACACTTCAAACCTCCCATCATCCCTCAATGGCCAAAAGTTTTCAATATTTCAATAATCCAGTTGGAAAATATTCTTTGAAACGAGTAGTTTCTCTCGTTTTAACATGCATCGGAAACACAAACTGATTCCAAGATACGAATGTTGTTCTACCACCGGACGTTCAACAACAATGTAGCTCTAGACACTACCTGAGAATTTATAGGAATGGTTCTAAAAAAGGTCATCAAACCTTTTACCGACCGGCTTAATTCCAACGCGATCTACCTAACATATCGAATTAGAACCCAACCAAGCAAATTTGTGTGGTGTGAGCGGAGAGTATAATTGCGGCAGGAGGCAAGCGAGTTATAGGGCACGTTTACCAACACAATTGTTGATAAAGAACTGAAAAGGATAAAGCGCGTACGTGCTCTCAATCCTTTTCTGGCACGCCGTAATAACTTCAACATTCGAGGTGCTAAGTGTCATCTTGAAAAAGCATACTATTACCTCTGCCTTAAGGCCCACCTAGACAACGTGTCGTAGTGCAGACGAACACAAGCGGGTTGACCTGCCCACATAGAGTATCGAGACAGACTTGCCGAATGAATCTTGGTAACTAAGTTGATCATAGATAGTTATTGCGCTGATAAGTTGCGTAAATGGATGAGTTGTACAGATGAACTTCGGTGAAAGCTGATAGACTGACCGAATTGATAGAAAGTAATCTAGGCAACCGGCTAATCATTGCCCGTTGTCCCAAAACCCATTTCCACTAAATGTTTGTGGAGGCTGTTCGTAACTTGTATGATTGGGCGCTGCCTCGACCGAGCACTCCTGGTTTTCGGTAAAACATTAGTAATCCAAGGCAGTGCAGACTCAACTGTACATGTCAGGTTCAGCTCTCAAGGCAAGTCTGGCCTGAGTACCCGACTCCAAAGAAATCAAAGGCCTAATTGGCGGGTGAGAGATTTGTCCTGAGGAAAACTGGCCTTTAATGGGACTCATCGCAAAAAGAAAGCACTACTATATGACCCGCCAACAGCACCATCCATCAGGAGCTTTCGGATACAAAGTCAAACTACACGAACACTCGTTCCTGCTTCAGCTCTAAATCCGCCATGTCCGACTCTCTCGTACTGAACCGTCGGCATAATTAAAGCCGTGAATGGTATTCGCTCGTTGTTGACCTGCGACATCTTATCGTGGTTGATAACTCGAACACTCTTAAGGCTAACCTTCGCGACCAGTTCGGCTTCTTTTCCCAAGTCTTGAAAGGATGTAGTCGAGTTCCAGTGCGTACTCGACATAAACCCGTCCACACACCTACTAGATCCAGTACTGGAGATTTTTGGTCGCGATACTCGATCCAGACTCAATACCTTTTACGTCTCGAAGAAGAGAACTCGCCGAACCTTAGTCAAGTTAACTATCGTCAGTCTTAACTCTCATAAGGCAGCTCATCAAAGCTCATACCAACTCACTCTGCAATACTCATTAAGGCTGAGGCTTCGTCACCAAAATCGAAACTGTGCGTGTCGTAAACGATGTCTTTAAAAAAGTATGCATTACTGTATTTCTCTACTTTGTGAAGTTGAAAACTGTAATATGACCCGCAGGTAACCGAACTCAATATTCATGCCCAGTTCAACGAGCACTAGTTATTCTATTGATTAAATCGTCAACATTTCGTATAGTCTCGTTAAGTTCTAATAATAAAATATTAAAATGTCCTGTACCCGGATCAATACTGAGTGGTTTGCCAGTGAAATACTGCTCAATCCTGAAATTGGTTGAAAATTTTGGCGAAAAAAATCTGATTAAAAAGGTTTGTGAAAAACTTCCTTGCCACTTCAATGATTTGGAGCCGCGCTGCGGGTAAGACTTTGTACAAGCAAAATTGCTGAGCTCAAACAGGGAAATCATGCGGAACGCAAGGATCAGTGCCTCGTGCTTGGCTCCATTTCATCGAAACGTTCGCAAATGATCAATATTCAGACAATTCGTGACGATTTAACTACATAGGTAACAATATGCGCTGATGGTATACAGCCCACCGGAAGGTTCCAGTCGTCAATGTCATCTCAGTTTTGTCCCAAGTGGACGAACTCATTTCAAACAAAAGTGGCTGCTTAGTCTTACCATTACCAAGGGTGATGAGCAAAAAGGGTCAACCGTCCCTTTTCAAGATTTGCATGACCCCCTCTGGAAGAAGTTCCGCATAAGACCCCTCCAGCGGTCGGTAGTGCAGACAGTGTTCTTCTCTCTGTCGCCACCTGACACATTAAAACACCCCCCCTACCCTCAAAAAATTCTTCTAAAACCGGCGTCGAGCGAGGGTGCAGAGGAGACGAAGGGATTTAACTTTCCTAGAACACACAATTTTACGCATCCCCCTCCATTTCAGCATAATTCTTCCACAATGGTGACCCCTCTGAAACCACAATACGACCTCCTGTCAAAAAAAATACAAGTATGACCCTCGTTGTTGGAAAAGTCGCAACCGACGATTAGCCGTTATAATGCCGCTTATCACGCGCATAAGCTGGGCTAAATCTTGGGTAAAATGAC